AGGTCACCGGAGGCTGACGAAAGGTTTGAGCGAGGTCAGAGGTCACCAGAGGCTGACGACCGGTTTGAGCAAGGTCAAAGATCACCGGAGGCTGACGACCAGTTTGAGCAAGGTCAGAGGTCACCAGAGGCTGAAGAACGGTTTGAGCGAGGTCAGAGGTCACCGGAGGCTGATGACCAGTTTGAGCGAGGTCAGAGATCACCGGAGGCTGACGACCAGTTTGAGCAAGATCAGAGGTCACCGGAGGCTGACGAATGATTTGAGCGAGGTCAGAGGTCACCGGAGGAATCTGCAAGAAATGAGCTGCAGTTTGAAGGTTAGTTCAGTAGAGGAACGTTCAAAGCAAAGAAAGACATGTCTGACTGAATAACAAATTTATGAAATAGATCGTAGAGAATTATCATCTTGAAACACATACAGCATGACCCCTTTTTAAAAACAAATTTAAAGATATTTGTGGCAACGTTATAAAAACTGGACAAAAGAAACTCCTAGGGTAATACAATGTTCTCATGTCGATGGGTAACGTGTCCTTACATTAACATTTAGTAACGTTTACAGCTGGATGCCAGCTACGACACATTTGTTTACCGACGGAAACAGCCGAAGTGATAAAAACAGCTCGAATGTTAAACTTACCGTCTACATTTGCCAACAAACATCGACTGATGTACGTCGAAAACTTGTCTCAAACTTGTCTCAAACTTGTCTCAAACTTGTCTCAAACTTGTCTCAAACTTTAAGACACGGTTTGATTCAGCCGAGTGCTTTGTTTACATCCAGTGCGTACCTGCATGACGTAACAAAATAAACCGTACACTACCTTCTGATGAAGTTCAAGAAAAACTTCATGTTTGATTTTACAGTTTGACCTAGGATATTTAATGTTTTGTACTTTGTTTTTACTTTATTTGTGTTGTTTAATTTTTAGGAATTTGTAGTAAAAATATCTTGCCAACAGCATATCAACCCTTCGGATGCCTACCTGCTACTGACCTTCAGAAATCCTCACACGACACACTTTACTTACAAGTAACAACATAAATATTGTGTTTAATGTAGATATACAGTATACACAACACAATCCAGAAAACACCTGGCTGTCCTCACAGGTGATCCAGTTTTATCCAATTATTACTGCACTCAGTTGTAATAAGACTTTGCTCTGTGAGAGAGAATTTTATAAAAATAATAATAATAA